TCGCGCGCTTTTTTATATATGTGTGTGTGTGTGTGTGTGTGTGTGTGTGTGTGTGTGTGTGTGTGTGTGTGTGTAGTTAAAAAAAGCAGAAAAGACACAAAAACACACTTGTCAAGAAAGAGAACAAATGCCATATATATCGCTCAGGTTATCTACATTCACATCATACCCATACTTTATTCATTAAAGAACTGAACCTTCATTATATGGCATAAACACTACATGAAGTTTTACTTGTTACAGTATGTTTACAGTGATTCTATGGACAGTTTCATGTGCATTTAAATTATTGTACTGTATAATCAATGTCAAAAAGAGTCTCCCATTGTCTTTCAGTATTTCATTACAGTAATTGTCACAGAGTAGTCCACTACATCTCATTCCCACAGTGCAAATAATAACTCTAGAACAGGAGGTCATTGTGCAGCTCTGAGAGCACAACAGCAACAAAATATACTATATGTATATACAGTACATGTCTCTTACTGAGTTAACTTTCATTAATGCTCACTTCATATACTTTTCACTGTTACTACTTCAGAAGAACATAGATCCTTGAATGAGAGTGGGGTAAAAACAGATGAAATATCATTGGATACAGGAATAAATACAGCTTTTTAATGCATGATAATGATTTATATTGGTATGTATAGCAGTTCTGATATACTATGTATGCAATTAACTTTCAGTCAAGTTTGCTATATGTTCTGATAATGGCAGCTGCAGGGTTTATCTCCTTCCAGAAGTCTATCCACTTGTCAAATAGTGCCAATCATAAATTTGTATGTGCCTCTGTGTGGTGTGATTAACAGTTTTAATGGTGAATAACACAATCCCATTACAGAAGAATGGAGTTATTATTAGGACATGATGAGGCCCAAAGGATGAATACTTGATAGAGTAACAGCCTGTCACACTAATTTACCCACATGAAGAGGTGTTATGTAGCTGGAGGGCTGTAAAGTGTAGTATATGTCATTCAAAGCACAGTGTTATCCTGGGAGTTTGTCTGATTGTATGCATCATCTCTACACTCAAGGTTTCAGAAATATCACTGACTGACAGACAAGTCATGAGTGGGTGTCTTTCCAAACCTATCATTTATATTTGGTGGAAGCCATCAGGTGTTGGAGATGGGACCTGTGACAGGTGCTGTAGCTTTCATTGTCAGTGTGTCAGTCAGCATGTATGTTGTCAGTGCTGTGGGGTAGAGGTGACGCTGAGGAGAAGATATTCTGTTGATGGCTTGAAATGCTGTTTCTTAGTGCTTCATCCAGTTCGTTCGGTTGCCTTCCTCATGTCATCATGTCATCACATCTAGGGGTATGGTAGACCCTCTATCTTTCTCTCTCCCTCTGTCTGCTGGGTGCAGTGTGATATCCTGGACTATACAGGCAGGCGAATGTGCATGGCAGAACTATTGGGTCGCGCAGCCAAAATGTAGATGGCACTCTCCTTTAAAAAGTCTGCCCAGCTTACTGGCCTGTTGAATTAAAAGACGTTGTTTATTGTTTCTGTATTTTTCTTACTGTTAGTAAATCTCATGAAAAGTGATCGTACTAATGCAGGTGATATTGTCTGTAAACCTAAACTCTACTGACACTAAAAATGCACTTCACTCCTTCATTCAAGGACATGGGCATTATCCTGTAGCTTATTTTGAGTCAATCCCACATACACTATCCTGGTGCCAAACATATTCAATAACCAAATGTGCATTAATCTGCAGATAAAAGTAATCCCCAACAAATGCACTACTTACTACTGTTTGAGTAACATTTGCTCAGCAATACAATGCACAACTGTGAACCTTTTTAAAAAATTAAATATCTGTCACCCTTTAAAAAATGTCCATCTTTAGTAGGAACCATGGGATTTGTTAATAAAAAAATATATAGAATAACAATAGCCTATTTTCTGGTCACACTCAAAAACATAATGATGATCTTCAGTTTTGGGTCTTTTAGCATCTCACAATAATCATACTAAATACATAAATGTGACATTTTTATGCAGGCATACAAATAATTTGGCAATATCACTGAGAGAGTGAGTATTTGGCTTCAATTTGCCTCATGCTTCACTTGGTCTGTCTCAGCGTTCTCTGCTGATTAGTGTTCAAATTGATACAACTCTCTTGTGTAGCTCTCTTTTTAATTATGGTTCCCTACAATTGCCATGTGAAGTCCTGTAGCATTAGCTGCAGTTACTGCAGTGGGAAATGTGACATGAAGAAAAGTCTCAAAAGTCATGGCATGCCAAATAATATTAATTTTCATTTTCTGGTGACACAGAGTGAGTTGGAAGGTCATCTGGGCGGACTGTGAAACCTGAAGCATGGAAGGTTGTCCTGCCTAAATTTCTAGGCGCCATTGTTTCACTTGGAATGAATCCAGCCATTAATGCTCACAAAATACTTCCCATCTTCGCCCAGCAGCGACCACTGCAGGGTCATGACAGCTATACTATATGCTCCAGTGGGAAAGACTGAGCAAGTTTATGTAAATGTCACCACATAAGGGAGTCTGCGGGCCTGCGATGCTTGTTAGAATTAGGAACATGTGAGAAAAAGCTTTAAAAAACTTGATATGTTCTGTAGTGCTAATATATTGTAATTTTGTCCACCCTGGTTCAAACACACAACTAAAAAATATAAGAGGACAAACCTGCTGTCATCAGTCTTGCTCCTGTCACTGCCAGAACTGGCTGGACTGCTCTCGCATATGGGGCCAACATTACTTATACTGCACCAAAGGACAAATAATAAAACAAAACAGAAAAGTATAAGTTAGCCAGTACAACAACAAATGACAAGACATTTCCTTGCACTGAAGAAAGGGCGAAGAAGGTCTTTTTGAACAATTGACCCATAGTGATTTTAAGGAGATGAGGACTTTTCACATCTACCAGCCCTATATTCAGATAAAACTTATTGGGGTAAAATATTAGACTCTCCAGAGTCAGTCAATATTTAACTGTAAATAGAAAAATCGAAACTGTGGACGGCACCTCTCTTGTAAGCCCTGCGTATACCACTGTAATGTACATAAATGACTGTACTTTCTAAGAACAGCTGGAAAGTGTCCAGGAGCTCCCTTAGCACCAGATTGTCAGAGGTCTTCTACTTAAAAATAACCACCTTACTATGTCATAAAACACAGAAAAGCTTTGCTTTAATCATTTATTAATCTTGCTATCAAGATTAATAAATGATGCATATTTGTGTCAATAAATCTTATCAGTTCAACAATATTCTTCTTGCTCTTCTTTTCCATCTTGTCCAAAACCAGAGGTTGCCCCAGTTCAAAATTCTGACAAAATCTTTACTCAAGTTTAATTAGTAGCTTTTCTAGACTTTAAGCCATAGCTGATCATTTTCTGCAGCAGACCTTTAGGGTGAATTCTCTTTTCATTGCCAATTCTAAAAATGTATATATGAATATGGGGCAAGACATTCCCATTTTAGATTTCACTAGAAAACCAAATGGCTGGTTTCCATATCTATGAGTCATGGGTTTATAATATTTCAGAGTCAGAAAGAAGCTTTTCTGATTAAGTTTCTTACTGATGACTCCTTGACAAACTACTTTTCACTTTCATGCTGTTGCTTGTGAATGCCTGCAATCCAGCCATCAAAGGGAGCAGAGATTGACTCTGACTCATTTGTTATTTATTTGCTTTTCAGTGAGCATGAATAAGGTTACATTTTAGTGCTGTGTGGGGACCTGATTTGTGTGCTTGCACCTTTTTGGTTCACATTGTCCTCTTGCACTGATAAATGAGGCTTTTAAAATGAAGCTCCCTAAAGGTGACAAAAGGCTTTATTTTCATCCTGCAACGTGTTCTTTCATGAAGAATGTCAGACTGAATATTATCTATGCTTCAGCATTACAAGAAGGGCTCACCTTCTGCTCATTATGCTTCATTCAAGGTTGTGTGCTTGTTTGATTGCTGAGTTCCAGTTTGAAGGTAGGAAGGTTCTCTCTTTCTCTCTCTCTCTCTCTCTCTCTTTTTAAGGGTGGGGGTTATACTACAAATTAAACTGAGGGATTGTCTGATAATACTTGAAAACTGCAGAGTACTCAAGAGTGTTGAAGTGATGAAAAGGAGACAAGCCATGCAATGCTGAGTCACACTCACCCACAATTCATAGGATAGCAGAGTCCCATGAGTCTGTGGGGAATGCCGCATGTTGAATAGGTGGGGGATGGAATGGTAAGCATAGGAGATGTAACAGCACAAGAGGTTATAGGCAGTACCAAGCACATGCACACACAAACATACACTGTACATACAGTGCACAAACACCAATGGGGGATAGTCACATTTATTTCCCTTTTATCCTACTTTTCAGTACATCTAAAGGGAAATTTTTGTGCTCCTTAGTGCATTACATTTATTTGTAGAGCCCCCCAAGTTGTAGGATTCCAATTTATAGTCAGTTTATAAAATATGATGCACTGGAATAGATTTATCCACCTGTATCTAAGCAATTAAAGTTTTCTTCACTTTGACATAAATGTTGTAATTTTCTATTATCAGTAATAATAATCTGAAACAGTCCAAAAATCTATAAATATATATTAACAAAACACTGAAAGGGGCCACACTGCATAATCAGCACTTTTAATTTTCAGAATTAAATAAATGTTTTTGATAATAATTATACAGTTTTAACTAATGCAGCACTTTCCTTTGTAGCAGATAACATCTGTATTGTGGTACTGCAACTTTCATTTGAGTAAACAATCAGAATACTTTTTCTACTGCTAAAACACACACAGTCATGGAAACACACAGTGAGTACAGTACAAACAAATGTAACCTCATCACAGTCAATTAAATTTTAATTTCACTTTATTATAAATCTGATGAGAATAAACACTCATTTCAAATCTGATCCCTGCAAACACATTCCAAAAAGAATTGGGATGGTTGCATTTCAGGACTGGTAATGAGGTAAAACAATGAAATGATGATGTAATTCGAAACAGGTGATGCCAACAGGTGACTGCAATCACGATTTGATACAAGAGTGGCATCCAGAAAAGGCCGAGGCCTTTAGGAGTAAAGGTGGGCCGAGGATCGCCAGTTTGCCAACATATGCATGAGAAAATTGTTCCTCAAAGATAGGAAGAAATGTGGATATGTCATCCTTTATGGAATTAAAAGATTCAAGAAATCTGGAAGGATTTCAGGGTATAAAGGGCAAGAGCACAAGTATAATCTGGACATGTCAAATCAAATATCAACTGTTGTATTGATCTCAATGTAATACAAGACACAAATGATGTTTCAGTGTAAATTGCTCATCATGTGTGTCTTTGCTATTTCTTTATCATTACATTGGTGCATTTGTTGCACTCTGCATAGGGCAATGTGCCAATCACGAGCAGCACATTCCATCATCTGTTTCAGCTGAAAGCTCATATGAAGTTTGACAAAGAATACTGTTATGTCCCTGTCTTGTTCAAGTGCACAGTTAGCTGTACATTTTCATTGTCACGGTGTGTGACAGAAGTATGCAAAAAGGTCACTGTGGAGCTAGCAACACTCCAGACTCTGGGGGGGTTTAGCTGCACAGCCTTGGTCAATGTTTAGTCAGAGAAGATCCTTGAAGGGCTGTAGCTGTGTTTTTTGTTTTGGCACACTCACACTAGCGCAAACACTCAGGGAAGACAGAGCTGTTACACTCTGGTTTTACTTTGTGAGTTCATGTCCTATATAATAACTGCGCTGAAAGAAAATTTTATACAGCTGATTGGCAGTTGCGGTTTAATGCATTCTAACTGCATTTTGAACTGATGTTATAATGAAACAATGTTTTTGTGGTTCTAAGGCAGGACCAGAGCTCTAAATATTTTAATTAAAAGAGACAGTTCTAGAGTTGCTGTTAATTTAGGTTCTTGCAGGTTGGGTGCACACATTTACTGATATTCAACCCCTATGCTCAAACACAGCTGTGAAAAATGTCTCAACCGATTTAATTTTTAGCATGCAGAGCAGCCAAGTAAAGTGACATGTCATCTACAAAGTAACAGAAATGAAAACTATTACTATGTGAAAAGGATGAAGTATATTTAAAGCATATCATGTTGTGTTCAGGCTTTCTTCTCACTGTCTCTATTCCTTCTCTCTCTCTGCCAGCTTCAGCATACACATGAAATCCAGACTCCCCAAATCCCTGCCAGACTTTTACATAAACGTCTGCAGTCTAGACATGGAATACTTTTGTTTTTCAGTATATTCAGAGTAGGAATTTTACTTTGTACTCTTGGGCAAAGAAATAACTGAATTTACAGACTCTCTTTTAGTGTGCTTACCTCACATTGCAGGACTGTGAATCTTTGTTGAGCTTGTGGAACCAGTACTGCTGGGCCTGGCGGCATTCTGCTCTTGTAATTATGTTGTCTTTATCCAGGTCTAGGCTCAGGAACACTGACCGTGCCTTGTCTCTTTCTTTGGCAGTCAACAGACGCACCAGTGAGTTCTAAGAAAAATAAAACCAAACTAGGGCTTGAGATTAGGTGGCCTGAATCACATGCCTTTGAATCACTCACATGAATTTGATTCCCATGTTATGCCTCCAGGCAAATGTATTTTTAGGGCTCATTTCTTGGCCTTAAACATTTTCAATTACATTACCACTGTCTGACACAATCTGAAAATAATGCTTTGCCCCATGAAACCCCAGAGTCCACAAAGTGCAGATTTAATCTCCCAAACAAGTGACGAGAAATTCAAGCAGATAGATGTTTGGCAAAATGTTGGTCCTAAGCTTCTATCGTGCAATACTCAACATAATATAAAGAGCAAAAAATAATATGTTTCTGTTGATGGCAGAGACTGGTGTTATCAAAGACAGCATCAAGAAAGTTCAATAAGGGTTAGAATTTTATTTCCTTTTTTTCAGTTGTTTTGGGGTCGCTGCAATTGCTGATCTCTGCCACAGTAAATGAAAGACCACTAATACCATTATTTTGGTTACAAATGACCGCAAGAGAATAGTCTTTTACTCAGTGGTGAAACAAGGCAAACCCTCCAAATAACCATCAGGGGTTTTCACATTTTGAGACTGTCATGCCCTTCTTCAGTCAAGTTTTGGAGTTAGGACACAGAACAAGGGTTTTCGAGTGCTTTAAATTGCCTTCTTCAGTTGTGCATCACAGCCTCTGTTGCAGTTCCAACTGCTGACTATTTTGGTAAGTGGAATAAATCAATATTTCAAATGAAAAAAAATAACTTCCCATAATTTAAGAATGGTTGTATGTACCTGTCCATTTTGCTTCATGCACCTATTGCTCTATTGTCCACAGTGAATGGAAGATTTTAAGCACAATTACTTTGGCATATATAAATAAAACATAACATGACGTAATAATATGTCAGTGTAGTGTCTAGTGTTTTGGTGGTGCTATAAATAAGTGAAACCTAACTATAAAACAGACCATACTAAAGGCTTTTGCACCTTAAAACAGTGGTCTAAATCCACCTTTACAGTGCCCAGGACCTATTCCAAATCTAAACACTTTTCTAGTTTATAGATGCTGCCTTAAAATACAACACAGTTCATGTCTTTTTGAGACATCACCAATAAGGGAAAATTTGTTGATTTTCAAGGTGCCATTGGCTACTGTAACACAATCAGAAACTGTATATTCTATTTTATAATTATTTTTGACCATGTTTACCTCTGTGCGAAACTTCCTCAACACTGCCAGAGACTCAAAGTAGAGAAAGTCCGACCATTCAATGTGACCCTTCTTTTCAGGATCCATTGCTGCGAACTGGGCTAGGACTTCCTCCTCTTGCTCATCAGTCAGGTCCTTATCAAACTGCTGCTTGGATACAAAGTGGCGGTACTGCAGCAGCTCATCTGACACCAAGCATGACTCTACAGCAGTAAGGAACAATTTATCATGTCAGACCTAATTAGTCACCAAACATTCTTCCAGATATAATTAACTCATGGTGACTCATTTTCTACAAATGCAAGACCACCTCCCACTCATTGCCTTCCATCCAAGCTAGGAAATAATACCATATATTTAGACTGGGTTGAGGGCAAAAAATGTTGTGACTGTAACTGATCATTTTAAAAAGAATAAAGGTTCACCAGCTTCATACACCAGGCAGGTGTGTGCAGAGATGGTAGAATAAGGCAGGTGTTGAATATAACATAAAAATATGCAATTTAATGTAGAAATGGCCTGGAGCTGGTCAGGTTCATATTGTCATCTCAGCCAGGTATAAATACAATCCATACAAAGTGACCACCACGCAGCACTCTGAAAGCTCATCTAATTCCAGCACTTCATTGGCTTAAGCATGCCCAGCCAAAGCTACAAATGGCAGCAGCAAGAATTCTCTCATAAAAAGTGCTTTAGAAATAAATGACATTTGTTCAAGTTATTGCTGAGTGACATGCACACATTCTCTAACTGCCAGAGTGTTTACTCACATAGACAGTGTTGCTGTTGTGGTGTCTAACCTTGACTATGTGACTTACCTGGAATGATCTTGCACTGCTTGAAAGTCTCCACGAGGCTGTACATTTCTTCCTCTGTAAGGAGTAGATTCAGATTGTCCTGCAGGAAAAGGTGAGATGAGGGCAGAGAATCATACTTAAAAGACTGATGTTCACACTGTTTTTGTAAGCGGTGAATTAATAGGCGAGTGCGTTCTAATTACATGGAGTTAGTCCCAAATGGACCTCTTGCAATTAGCCACAAGCATACAAACTATTGGATTGTGAAACCATTCAACAACTATTTTGTTTCCCAAGTGATTCACATAATTGTTGTTCTATCTGGCACTCTTTTTAATAATTGTGTCATTAGTAAAAGCAAAGGGCAGGGTTTAATTAAATGTAAACATAAAACACAGATTTGAACTATACATGCAAATATAAAGTGATTGGCAATGAATACAATTCTTCCAGGTCTGATGTAGATATCAGCAAACCCACAGGCAAAGAGACACACAGGAGAAACTAATCTGAATATTTCTATTTGTATATTATATGTACAATATTTAACAGATAAGTGGCTGGATGAAACTTTAATGATCCCTTTGGGAAGTCAGTTCCAGTCTGTTTACATAGTTTTTAATCAGAGTTGCAATCGATCAGGGCTTCACAAAGGCTGCATGATGAAAATGCACGTATGCCAACCTTTAAAAATATAAGTCAAAAAGCATATATGTCAACATCAACCAACATTTATTAGAGCATTGTGGATTATAGCACTAAGAATATGAAAAAATGAACAAGGTCATGGCCTCATTATATCAGCCAGTGTGCCAGAATGTGTGTGCCAGCAAGCTGTAGGGTGTCATCCTGCACTCCTTCAGTGTGTCATAAGGATCACAATAACTGCCAGCACCTATCTGCCCCACTGTCTGCAGTATTTAAAGATCAAGAGTGTGCACGGTGTGTGTAGTTAATGATTCACATACTGTACTACCCAGTCCTTCCTTCTAAATCTTGAAGCTCACAACTCACAACTTCTCTTCGTTCCTTCATTCACTCATTAATTCATGCACTTGGTTGTTCAGGATTACTTTATATTTACATCCATTGGCCATTCCAAAGTCAAGGAAATCTAAAAAGGAAGCCTTAAACCAATATAATACTCTCATACGTTGTCTTCAGCACTCCCAGAAAAATGTGTGGGCAGTCTAACACTGTGTCCTTTCATAGATATCATTTTAACCGAGTGGAACTAAATTATAAAGTTTCTAAGCAGAGGGCCATTAGTGTCACACCGTAAAACCCTCCATGCGTTCTTCCACAGCGTTGTACTTGTCCTCTAGAGCCTCTTACAGCTTTATGGTTTTTGTACAGTCATGAAAGTCATTCAAAAGGCCAACGTGGATACATTTCAAGAAACCAGTTTAGAGTAGCATAGGTGGAACAGAGCTGTAGTACCAACACCCCTATGTAGCAATGACAAACCATCTAAAGGAGTAACCGATTATTTCCACACACGAGGAAGATGGACCAATGTGGCATCTAGTCTGCAGTTTGTCAAGAGTGACCCTTTTTAAGATCTCGTCAAATTTTATAGTCATCTTAAAAGTGATTTAAGGCTTTATGCAACACCTACTGACAGCATCTGGAGAATATGTACTCCAGGATACAAAAGACCCCTAGGGAATAAAGTATAACAACAACAACAACACATTCTAATTTTATTCTGTCATCTTGCATAAATAGTTTTTTGAGACTGTGTTTGTCAAAAATGAAAGCACTGGTTGTGTCTTCAGACAGCTTTAAATAGCATTTTTAGGCTCACTGCAGGAAGTCTAAAAAACACATTCTTCTTACTGATTCCAAGACTGAATAGGTCTGTGCTAACAATGGGTCAGAATACTGTTTGATGTGAAAGTGTCACTCACAGTGACAACCACAAAGATTATGTCATCATTTAAGAGAATTATCACCCAATCCTGCAGTTCCTCTCATATCTGTGGCTCAATTTAGTCACTTAACTAAATGTAGAACCCAGAGCCATCTGCTAAAAATAGATATTTTTGTCAGTGTGACCTCAAGGCCTTTCTTTTCCTTTCAGGAGGGCAGAGGGTGGAGCTGAGATGTCTGTCTGAGATGCAGCACACCTGGGCACATTGAACTCAGAGTGCTATAAATAAGCTCATCAAGTTCTTCCCTTGGCTGGCCAGCTGTCTTGTTTGTTCTTTTGTTTTACATCCATGTACTCGCACTCTTATTATTTTTCATCCAAACATGGCATATGTATGACCGTTCATAGACATAACCTATTTGCATTTTGACTATTTTTGCATGTTTAATTAAAATGTTTTATTTTACTTTCCTTGTGGTCTCCCTTCTTTGTCACTAACTGTTGAGACGGGTTGTGACAGTGTTAAAAGGAGAGTGAATAGTGCTTGTGTTTTCATGCATACAGTGCATCCAGTATGCCTGCAACAGCATGTGCATGCAACTCAACTTTGACTGAATCCATGATACCTAAGTAACCCACATGAAGTATCAGCAAGCCTCAAAAAATGATTTAGGGCTATAGAGAAGGGTCACTTTTGTTCAAGAATCCTTCTTCTATCTGACTGGTTGCCACTGAGCCATATATGTAGTAGTCTGCCTTGAAGACTGCCTGGAAATTTATTTTGAAGGAAACTCAGTCCATCTGCCAGCAGCAGTCTCCAGTGCCTGTGTGAAATTAAATGTCAGCTGCAACAGAAGGGGGGATTTGTAACAGCTGACCGATGTGCAAACAAAATAGTTTAGGTTTCTTTTTGCTATGATGACTAGAATTCACAACTCGCATTTCTTTTTCCATCACTGAATTGTCCCCTTACTCTGCCATTTCTCACACATTGAAGGAGCCAGCCAAAAAAGAGGGTCTTTCAGTGTCCATTCTCAGACTGTGTGAAAACATCCCTCTGTAAGCCCAACTTTGGCAAGTGAGTTCGCTTCTCAGGGCTGGCAAAAAACAGCAAAGTCCCTACTCCACTCTGAAGGGTCCTCCAGCAAAAGCACTCTTCTGTTGTTTACGCCGGAATTAAAACTGATCCCATTATGCCTCTCAAACAATGGTCACAAGACAGTCATCAGATTTGGCACTGGCTTCGAATTACTCATGAGAAGCTGGGTGTTTGTTTTATTGTTTTAAAAACACTGAAAACTCTTTCATAATTTTGCCTTACTGTATTTGAACAATAGATTCACAATGAAGTATTACAGATGTGCACTACAATGGCTGCTGTCATACATGTGTCATCTAAACAATGACAGCTGCCTGCTAGAAAGCCTCACTGTCATTATCTCCCTTACACAGTTAGCCTATACAATGGTTGACAAACAAAATGAAAATCAAGTATAACTGAGTAGTTTCTTTTAGGATGACAATGATTTGATGAGTATGAAAATGAGGTGAATCATATGCTGTGGCCTCTGCAGTCGCCAGATCTCAACCCAGTTGAACACCTATGGGAGATTTTGGAGCGACGTCTCTACCACCATCATCTGAACACCAAATGAGGGGATATCGTTTGGACGAATGATGTTCATCCCTCAAGTAGAGTTCAGAGACTTGGAGAATCAACGCTAAGGTGTACTGAAGCTGTTCTGCTGGCACGAGGCTGGCACCTTACTAAGACACTGGTGACAATTTGACACCAGTTTGTATGATGGACTATACTGTATAAGGTTGACATGTATATGTGTATGCTTAATATATGACTTTCTACAATAGAGAATTTTGGAATATACTGTACATATACCATATGTGACCCAGAGGTCTGTCACAACAATGGTTGGCTATATTCCAACAATTCTCATGCATTAAAAAAAAATCCCAATTTGCAAAAGTGCAGTTGTTTTAGAATTGAAGTCAGTTGATTTAGCCTGCTGTGATGACAACTGTGGCTGTAAATTTACACAGCTGTACCTAATTAAAAAGGAGGATTGGCAGTGGTGGAATGTAACTAAGTATATTTAGTAATGTATTCAAGTACAATTTTGTGGTCCTTGCACTTAACTGATGATGTGTGATACATGACACAAACTTGTTTTTTTTAATGACCAATCTTAGTAACTGTTTCATAAAATGTAATTGTTTTTGTACTTCAGGTTTATGTACCATAACGTGACTCAGTTAACTTTGTTCTGACACTGAGAAGTCCTGAAATGCCTTTGTCCTGTTCATGATGCCAAATGCTGTCATGGAAATATTCAAAATGATGATGTATTCAAATAAAAATAAATATTAACTTAAAGTAGCAGGGTACAGTGGATTAAGTTTAAAAGGAAAAGTTTTGGTTAGTCATGGATAAACATGGTCACATGAGGAGCAAGGGTGCTTTCCTCAATCCTTTTGTTTGTGTTGGTCTTACAGTAAATATCCCTGCTACACAAAAACTGTTGGAAAAAATTGCAGCTGAAAATATAGGTTTGCAGAAATAATGCTCCAGAGTCACTTGATAACCCCCACAGCAATGTCCATGAATTTGTGCTTGTGAAAACTGTGTGTTTGTTGCCCAGCAGGTGATGTGTCGGTGAGCTGTGTAGACTTACACAATAGTAGCAGCTCCAGCCAGTAACAGTGCGGGCTGTGCTTTTCATCTCCTGCAAGGCCTCGGCACGCAGGTAGCCCAACTCCCTCAAACAGCCATCGTGAAACATCCGAGTACAGATCCTGCAGGGGTACAGGTCGTCGGCCGTCCACACCTCACACACGTCACACATCTCATCACCCAGTGGCTGAGGTAACAACAAAATGTGCCATAAGATTGTTTCATTTACCTACAGGTTTATGCTGTAAACTCAATCAGTAGCCTTGACTATCTCCTGCCCATCAAAGCTCTGAATAGCAGGTCAGAAGTAAAAGTATAAGCATCAATCCATCAGGTGGTAGGAGTGTTATTTGATGGTAGGAAGGGGTACTGCATAATGTAACAAGAGTTTATGTTGTGTACCTGCTGGCTCATGTTCTTACACAGACAATTCAAAGATTACGCAAGACTGATATCTGTGCCCTTGTTTAACATTTGTGCTTTGTCAGTCTTTGTTGAATGCTGTAGACTCCATTTACAGTCACAGTGCACTCAGATGTCAAGTCAGGAAAAATGACTGCAGGATGCTTGACTGGTTAACCACAAAAAGACTGTCAGATTCCATCTTTGCTGTTTTAAATCTCTATTTCAGTGTCACAGCATAAGCTTCAGGGCTGTAGAAATACCATGGATAAAGCCTTGTATTTTTTTTTTTCGTAGTTACGGCCCACATCTTGTGACCTGATGCTACCCTTGACATCAGCAAGCTTCCTGGCTACACCTGCATCACAGTCCTGGTCAAAATAGTTATCTACTAGGTTGTAGTAATTTCTCTGAAAGTGAAGACTAACATCTGAGATCTAAAGTACTAAACCCATACTGGATATAACAACCCCAGGCATACTGGAGTTTCACTGTTCATGGAGCATGGGGAGAACGTGATGAATTCTTAGACAACACTAATGAAAAGGCTACAAATGTGCTCAGCAAGCTTCCCTTAAACTATGCCTGTTGTGTGTGCCCGTTTAATATTTTGGCCTCAGTACGGTGCTACGATCACACTGCATATAAAGAATGGAATAGATTCCAGCCTTTATGAAGCACAAATGCTCAATATTTTGATATTTCTTAGATGCAGGTGGAAGATTAACAGAACAATATATTAAAACCCAACATTCATCCATCAGTTATGCTTCTTTTTGTGTAGAGGGCTGTTGGGGGACTGGAGCTGATCCCAGCTCTCACTGGGTGAGAGACAGGGTACACTCTGGACTAGTCTTCAGTCCGTTACAGGGTTGACACAAGGAGACAGACAACTCGTGTTCACACCTACACTACAGGTAGTTTAGTGTCACCATTTAACCTCACCTGCATGTCAGTGGATTGCGGGAGGAAGATGGAGGAAACCCACACAGGCACAAGGAGACAACAGCGCTAACCACTGCAGTCACTGTGCTTCCCCGTCCAAAAAGCAAACTAAGCATTGGTTCCACTGGTTATGAAAAGAAAATATCAAAATGGGCTAAAGAAATACAGGATAGTGTAAGGATCTGTCTTAATGTTAAGGTGGTGAATTTTAGCAAAGTTTTTAAAATTGACACATTAAAAGTACAACAGAATGTTGTCGGCATCGGAAAAGTGATGCAATGTTTAAATAATGTGTGGGGAAGCATGTACATGTATGATGCAAATATAAATTGTCTCAACATTGACACTTAAGGGAAGCTATACTAACAGAGATACAGAACTTTTATTTCACCGATAGATAAAAACCAATTTACTGCCATGCCAAATTAACCCACACACCAGAGGCATAAGCTTTTCAAAACCATCCTATAATATTGCTTTATTCATTGTGGTCTAGCAAGGCCAATTATCTTGAGGCAGATATAATTTCCATTCATTTCAGCCTTTCAAAATTCCCAAATATCTTCTCTAACTCTTGTTTAAGTATAGTGCACCATCACCAGTGTAGCAAGTTACCATGCGGTGCTGACTATTTGCAAATTAGACAACCTGATGGTGGCAGTGCTCCTGTGAACTCCACTGCCTGTTAGTCAGCAACACCCTGAATATGGTCACCTCTCGGAGTCAACAAAAGCAGCCCACCCACAAGATGCTTGCTGTGAAGAGCCCTCATGCACAACATAACCATATCTCAGAGCTAGAGCAGAAAGGAAAGCCCGTGCACAAAACAACTTCTCACTCATCTCATCTTCAACAGTAATGTTTAGATGAAGCTTAAAACTCTATTGTCTGACCGAACTGCTTTATTATAATTCCTAAGTTGATGGAGGAAAAAAGATATTATGCTGTCGTTGCCATGGAGATTCTTTGACATCTCACAGGCATCCATTTAAAATCAGGGCTTGGGAATTTGCAGTGTGTTTTGTAAAAGTAAAATGTGTTCATATATATATATTTTTATAATTCAAATAACACACTGGCCATGGATTTTCAACCTGCTCTTTCTTTTCCAGCTCCACCTCCACAGGACAAAGGCAGGTGGTGTGAGCTGATGCCTCTTATCAAGCTCTTCAGGCTCCACTCCCTTCCCATCCCGTAACCTCGACCAAGCCTCCCGGTTGACTTTATACTCATTTCTCGTTGGAGCTGAGGCCTGCTGGGAGGTTGATGGGCCTGCGCTGTTGTCTGTTTTCTGTTGCTCTACCTCCTCGGTGTCCTTCTCATCAGAACTGACCGGAGATTTGGCAGGCCCGTCACCATCCTCCACTTCACCATCCGCCTGTTTGGCTGCAGCAGCACGATCTTTAAGGCCCGCCTGGAAGGCAGAGACGACGGCGCTGCATTTCTGCACCTTCTCCACCTGCTGCTTCTTTGACATGAGCACTCCCATGGCTACAGACAGATGGAGGAAGAAAGAAACAGAACAGTTACACAAGTGTGCTGTATTTACAATTTATCTTAACCCTCATTTACAGTGAACTGTGATTTACAGTTTTTTTTTTAAACTTGTTTTCAAAAATAAAAATTTCGATATCTTATGAAATAAGTGTCTAAATGATCAACAATAAATTTGAAAATGAAGAAAATAATTTTTTGGCATCATTTTTTTTAAATTTAAGGTCTACCTCCATCCACTTCAAATCAGTAGCCATTCATGAAAATCACAGGTACAGAATTAAGATGCTGATGGAGAAAACTGTTTTTTTAGGTGGCAGCTACACCCTGCTGTAGCTCACACTGACAAAAGAGGTTTAACAAAAAGCTTATATAGAGGTACATGCATAGCTGCAAAGGACATTTTTATATAATATTAGTATTATAATTTTCTTGTAACACAGAGAAGAATACAATGGTTAGAATTAAAGCTGCATTAACTTCTCCCTTTAATTTTCAACTGTTAAGAGCAAAGTAAGAGTCAAAACAAACTCAAGCACTATCCCCTCCTCTTCTCCCTCCGCTCCTCTACACCCCTCCTGCCCTGTCTCTGAAACTAGGTCATATGTGGTCACGACAGCAGGAGACAGTTGTGGCAGCCAGGTAGCTCAGCAGCAATAACTGGCTCCAGAACTATTGCACATGTGGTTTTCAGTGGCATACAGTGAGAGAAATTGGCATAAACAAGAGAAATTTCATGTTACGCATCAATAGGTTTAAATTTTATCAACTTCTTACTAAAATGCTACATGGACTGCTGTGTTATGTCCGACATAGACTGGACCAAAACCAAGCAAAAATTAGCAAATTTACTTCATTTGTGAATCTCAGCCTTCCCTGGTAGGCTAGTGGTTGAGTTTGAATCAGGGTTGCGTCAGGAAGGGCATCCAGTATAAAAACACGTGCTAAATGTCAACATGCGAGTCGTCAGTGTGACGATTCACTGTGGCGACCCCTAAAATGGGAAAAAAGCTGACATTCATCCACTTCCTTTGCTTATGTAGGAAAACGCACTCATTTTCATTGACTGGACAACAAACTACTAACATTGCAGTCAGATGGAATGACTCCAAATTGCAACCACAATAATTCAGTACAAAGGCACAAAATGATGCTGACACGTTAGCAAGCTACAGTACTTATGTGTCTAATCCATTTGATGCTTCTAATGTTATCTCGGTTTTGCCTCGTTCTTTGTCACACTTTTTATGTGCCACAGAACATGGCCTTTTGGGTCTAACGGGTCCGCTCCCATCCTGGGTTTTACCTGCACAGGCAGCCTGCACATCTGTCTTTGAAACGAGCCATAGTGGTTTGAAAAACTCATTGTATAAGCTCAGATCAGTGGGGGTGTAACAGAAGTGTAGTGTGAATTTTGACAACAGTGGTGACAGAGGGCAAGAAATGAAGGCCCAAAGATAGCAGAGTGGGGATGGGGTAGGGGTTTAGTACAGCAGGGAGAAAACACTTATGGACAATTGTTTGCTTGATTTTTCAAAATGTGAGCTAAATCTTACTTAATACAGCTTTAAATGCAGAGATAGGGTTATCAACCTATTTAAGTATTTATTGTTTTTGTAAATCAGATCATGCTGTTACTGAATGCCCTACAAGTCAAAAGGTTTGGACACACTTTCCCATTCAATTCAATGAGAAAGCACGTCCAAACCAGTGACACAAGCTTTGACGTTTCCTGCTCAGCTCAGTCTCATAACATCTCTTTCTATCAGTAGTAATGTTCCTGAACTCCTCTTCTTATTACTATTAAACCCAGCCCACTTGCTCACTCAGTCTGTACTTCACCCTAATGTGTCCAAGGTTGTCCACAACCAATCATGTGAAGGATGGAAGTTATGTGAATGGCAATAAATAACGGTAAAACTGCCAAACAAAACTCATTAAAATTTGTGAAGATTTGGACTATATCTCCATCATTTTGTCATTTGGATAAAGGGAGGAAGGGTTTCTCCATTTAGGTTAAAATAATAAACCAAATATTACAGTAGTAGACTTCCAACAGTTCGAATAACCACACACACCCAAAAGCCTGTACTACTGGCCAGTTGTCAAATCACTTTCAGCAATGTAGAAAAATTGAATGACTACTGTAGTTCACACAAAAAAACATGTTTTCTCACTCACCGTAGCAGTATCTAGCCATGCAGATAATTTTAGTTTTATATGTCAGGGGTCTCCAAGATTCCAGTACAGTGTAGAAGAATTTCAGCTGCAGTGCTCACAGCAAAGGCAAAAGGCATTTAGAGAATACAATTGCAGTGTTTCTTTTCAGAAACAGGTGGAGGCAGGAATCTTAAAGGTGGAGCTTTCAAAACCTGCACATTAAACCCATCACTTAATTATGTGTGGCTATTTACCATTAGTGATAAATCTGATTTTGTTTATGAATTTGGGTAAACATTTTGAATGTTATTAGTCAAAACAAAAGACCTGTCTAACATTTTTTTGCATACATGCATGCTTTTTTCAGCTATGTGCCCCATTCATAAATATTCAAGGGAATTTCAGGTTTCTATTGAACAGGGTTTTCCCATCCTATTTATTGATGGCTTTCCTGAATTGTTCAGGGAGTCGTGCTGTGTCCTCCACCCCAAAGGTGACCCTCTACAACCTGTGAGGCGGTAGTAAATCCATGTTCATGATTATGTCAAGAGGCCAGACTTTGCTCCAAGTTCAGAAAAATCCCAAAAGATTTAGGGACTGTATGATTTCTACACACATTAAGTGGAGTAATATGCTGTAAATGTGATATACTTTGCAGCAAAGTAAAAAAAAAAAAAAAAAAAAAGATGCAGAAACTGACTTACTCCTCTTTTCCACTTAAGTGAGACACAACTGTGAATTCCATTATTGGGGAAAAAAGGCACCGCTGTGGATTCAAGTTGAATGCATGGTACTTATGGGATGTGTGTTTGCTCTGAAATGCAATCCTATCCATCCACACTCCACATAAGTGCTTGTGTGAAATTCAAATGCATTTATCTGAAGTGGAATGGGAGTCATTCCCTCTCTGTTCCCTTCAGGCTTAGACTCTAATAGCCTGGCAGGTCTTAGGTTCTCAGGCTGCTGGTGGATTTATGCTTCATAGATTGATAATGCAAAAATCATATGTATCTCACAGAGTGCAACACAGAATACACTCTCTCTAGTTTCATACATCTAAATAATCCCAGAGATACAAATGGTATAATCCCCCCCCCCAAAAAAAAATGTAATTAAAAGCTCCTTGAATTTTTGTTATAACTTGGTTTACTTTCATTCTGACAACACAGAGGCAAAGTGATGATTTATTGATTATTGCACTGTATATTTGTTTTGACTAGCATCTCTCTAAAGGCAGGTCAAAGGTCAGTGATGCTTGAAACACAGCACTCCTGCAGCTGGAAGGGATTTATTGACTATATCCTAATTTTAACCATGTTTTAAACATGTTGTATGTCCACTGGAATAATGACAAAATTAAGTACATTCCAGTGTGTTGTTGATGGGCAGTATTGTTCCAAAACAGGAGTGGAAGAGGTGCTCAGGGATGGACGAAAAGTGAAAAATAGGTGGTGGTGAGGTGGTGAAATACATTCAGTTTATTGTCAGAAAATAAAACAATATATTTGAAGCATAACAGAAAAAATCCTCTGATGAGATTCTAGTATATTGTACTGTGTACACACACATATTGTACAGCATACCTTAATGTTTTAGTGAGTTTTTAACTTTGGGGGCAGTATTCTGGTGAAAGTCCTTCCCTGTTCCAACATGGCAATGTTACATGAAGCTAGATCTATATAGAAACACTGTAGTTTTCTGAGTTTGGTGTTGAAGAATAGCACTGGACCACCCAGAGCTCTGCCCTGAACCCCATCCAGCACTGTGAGTACATCAGTGCCCAGCCTCAGTAATACTGTTGTACATGAATGGGAGCAAATTCCTGCAGTCAGGTTCCACTGATCCTGTGGAAAGTTCTCTCAGAAGCTTGGAGGCTGATATAGTAGCATAGTTTTGGCATGAGTTTGTCAACAATCTTTGTAAATTGTCCTTTATTATATTTTATCCTAGGTGAACCATGCTTTACATTTTTAAACTGTTTAACTAAATAAGTAGTGCTATGCAATTTTATTTTTTCACAGCATTATTGTGAGGTATTTTCTAAACATTAAGTATTTTAAATACCTAATATACTATATTTCTGATTTTGCCTCATAAACAAACTTGAAACCAGAGAAAATACAGTTCAGCATCTTTTTATATGTCAGCTTGTAATAAAGCACCTGAATTAGTCATGAAATTAACTTGTCAATTTTATGAATAAGAAGAGGAACAGAAACAGATTTAGACCAAAGTGGACAGACTTAGACAATGACAGACTGAAAGCAACAGTATTCGTTTAAAAGAAATTACTGAAACATGCAGTCATTCCACTCTCTTTCCGTAACAGCTGTGCCTCATATCTAATGGATACCTGAACAGACAATCAAATGTAGCATTTGTTTCAAATGCTACATCACAATGGCCACTGAGAATCAATTAGTAATTGCTACTTTTTTTAAATGAACTTGTTGTACAGTACATGTGTTTAAGCCTAGGACTCATTGCACAGTATCAGCCGTTATGTATGTCAGTGCACATGAGGTGGACTCACCTATTCTGTGTTGAGTTCAATGTTTGGGAAGTACACATGTTTACCTGAGTACTGGTTGTAATTCTATTCATCATGTAGGCTGTACGATGAATAGATGTACAAGACTGAGCGAGTGTTTGTTGACAGCAGAAAGAGGAAGAGGAGGACCGGTCTAGAGGGAACAGTGCGCTCTGATTTTGTCAAGTGTCCCAAAAGCCCAGCACCCAGGAGGTCACACACATCTCAGATGACCTGGTCCTGGACAGAGATGTAAGTAGGCTATAACCTCTACTTGACAGGTGGTGTGGGTTTGGCTCTGTAACTGAAAACAAAAAAGAAAGCGCTTGGCCTTGACACTGGATGAGGAGTGTGATGGCCAGTACTGTAAGCAGAGTCCTTCCCCACTGAACTTGGCCCCCTCCTACATTCCCGGTCAGGCCTACCCAGTTTCCAGCTATGCTGGAGCCCATCCTCCCACACTGTACATGCCCCCACATCATCGGCCTGGTGCCTTGAAATAAGGCCTGCATCCTGGACTGGTGAACCACTTGACAGCATGAACAGCCTCAGGTTGTCCAGGCCAGAACCACAGACAACCCTTTAAATCTGATCACCTGATCAACCAGTCGTCAATTGGTCACAGAACAGACTTTGTAAGTGAGGAGGCTCTTTTTGGTGATAGCAACAGAGAGATGGATAAAAAAAAGGTGTTTTTAATTAACTGCTTTGACTTTGAAAATGTGTTAAATGTGCCTTTCTCTTTGCTTGTTTTTGTGGCGTTCCTATGCATACTAGGTTATTCCATAGACTTCAATCACACTGCTTCAATCACAACATCACACTGTCCAGTATTTTCTCTTAACATCTCAGGTAAATGGCAGTGAACTATCGGACTTGACTTGAACTACTGTTAACTTGAAGCAGCATCAGTCAATCTGTATTTCAATACCTCATTGTGACTTCTACTGTAAAGGTTTATTTTAATGTTGACTGACTGATGCTCACTGGTGTCTTATTTTGATCAAGTAACTTTTTCCCCCTTGAATTTTTTTTATAAATGAAGACAAATAATTTGTGACTTATGTCCCTTAGTGACCATGAAACTATTAGCACGAGACAACTTGGAGCTGTCACTTCAGTATTAAGGGTAGGCTAATCCTGACTTTACAACTAGAATATGTCCTGTGAGTGCAATCATCATAACTATTAGACTCTAGCTATTATTTTATTAATATAATTCATTTTCTCAACAGGTTGTAGATAAATAGTAATTTATTGAGATGTTAGCTACACTAAGATGTTACCACTCAAAACACCCTAAAACTTATTGTATCTCTGCATCAAGAAAAACTGTCTTTGAAACTTCTGTATATGTAAACTTCTGGATCCCCTCCAATCAATTTTTGTATGTCCTACCAAAAGTCATTTCTGTTTTGTGCATCTGTAGTGCTCCACCAGGGAAATGTTATGAGGCACTAATTGTGGTGGCCAATTTGTGCCAATGCCAGAATGAGAAACTGAAGTAATAGCCTCTTTGGCCTAAAGGAGGCATTTTACTTTTGTTCTACCTAGGTTTGTGGAAATGGATTTTTAAATTGTAGTTCATGGCATTCCTTGCAGGAAGACAAGATGACACTTTATTTTTGAAGTAAATTATTCTTTTTTTATTAGGAAAGGGAGAAACACAACACAGTTTAACAGACCAAACAAGCAGTGATGGTCTTGGACATCTTCCAAGCAAAAGACAGATAAAAGTAATGAAGTACAAGCTTTGTAATATCAACATATTAAAACCTTGCCTGCTTTTTGAATGGTACAACATTGTGAAAATGATTGACTTATAGGATGTGTCTGATTTACAGTTGATTATTTCCTACACTGACAATTGAAGATGGAACCAAATGTAGCATTTGTTTCAGTTTAGATTTAAAGGACTAGTTCAACATTTGGGAAGAACACTTGTTTGCTTGACTGCTGGTTGAAACTCTATTCATCATGCAGAGAGCAGGGTGGCATCAGTTTTATCTAGCTCAGCAAGAAAGCAAAAAGAACATTTTTCAAAATGTCAAACTATTGTTTTAACCCTGTGGGTCAAGTGTTTTGTATGAAGTAATGGGGTCTTGCATCAGTGGCCTTGGTCTTTTATGAAGTAGTTAAAGCATGGGAGGTGACAGTGGTGCAGTGGGTAGAGCAGTCATCTCCCAACCAGAAGGCTGAAGGTTAGAATCTCGGTGCCTGCAGTCCACATGTTGAAGTGTCCTCAGGCAAGACACTGAACCCCAAAGTTGACCCCGATGGTTAGAGCCATCAGTTGAGTTGGCGCCGCAGATGGCTGCCTCAGTTCTGTACTGGAAACAAATTCCTTGTGTGTAACATACTTGACCAATATGTGTATAGCTTCCGCTGTGTTCTTGGACAAAGTTCCCTGAGCCTCAGGAATGTGATTCACTAGATTTTCTGGAATAAAAATGGCTTTCTCCCCTAATTTTCTACCACCTTTTCATCTATTTTCTGTCAATCTGGTGATTATTTTATTTCTCATATCGTCTGTTGGCATAGCAACAACATGAAAAATGCATCACAAATTATGCAATAATGAAAAATAAATTGTTCCTGACACAGAACATTAGAACATGGTGGGCACATATGGGATTTGCCAATGGAAGCTTTATATGTATTATCCTTGTCCCAGGCCTGTAGATCTGAGTAAACCTTGTGCTGAGGTAAACTGTTGTACTGTACACAGATTTTACATAGTCTTTCTCTCCAGTCTGAGTACACTTTCACTGTCCACTGTTGCTTCCAGGGAAAATATTGATTGTAGGTTTTCTTGTCCTTTGCCAGCTCCTGTAGAAACTTTCCCAAAACACGCACTGATGCAAATTCATCAACATGGATGAAAGAGTTGGGTGGAGCCACATCTTTGTAATCACTGATCGGTGGCCCCAAGACGACAGGTACTGCCCCGCTTTGGTAAGCATTCCTCCACAGCTTCTCTGTGATATAATCTTTAGCAACTGAATTCTCAAAAGCTAAATAGAAGTAGCACTGAGAGATTGTAGGTAAGAGTGCTTCATTAGAGAGGGGTGTCCCTGACCACCTCCCATAAACCTTCACAGGAACTACAGCACTGAGCTCTTTGTACACTGCAGTTCTCTTGTGGTAGTTCTGGACGTTGTTGACCACCCAGCAAACCAGAGTGCTCTTATTCAGAGGGACATCTTCCTCCAGACGTCCTCCAGCCTCCTTTGGTAGCAGCTCACCATAGGGTACTGTGATATCAGCATCCCTCCTGTAGCTGATGGTCATGTTGAAGATATTGGCATACTCCTGCAAGTGTCCATTGTGAGCTGGGGACTCCAAGGACAACCAGGCCCATCTCTGGCCCTGTGGCCATGGAAGGTTTAAGGGCAGCTTCTGCTGGCCCTGTATCAGCTCTCTATTGTGGAACACCACCACATCAGCTGAGGGGAACAAAAAGTGCTGGTCCACCAGTCTACAGTGAGGCATGTGGCAGAGGTCCCAGCACTAAAATGCAGAGGAAGGAGAGGAGGAGGTACGTCTTCTTTGTCCTGAGTACAGTCATCAAAAATTAAAAGTATAAATGGTTTATAGTTAAGTGTCTACTTACAAATGCAGTGGAATGGTACTTAAACAATAAACACTGATGATATAAATTTTCCAGCAGTATATTTCTTTGTCATTCATCATGTACAAAACATAAAACAATAAATTTGTACATGGTTCTGTAAAGGCCAAGTCTTTCATTGATCCTCAAAATTCTTGTGGATCTATGAAAAGTAACACTGGATATTCAGGACAAGATTTAATATTATTTAGAGCTACATCAACACTTCTCGTCATTTAAATGTTTTTAAAAGTTACTAATGGCTGCACACAAGCAGTAACAGCAGCTGATGAGCCTGACCTTTGTCTGACATACATAAACAGAAAAAGTAACACTCCATTTTAGATGGGATTGTTTGGGTGTGGTACTGTTTGGTAGTGTGTGAAATAAATACCGACTGACTAATGAAAATAAAATAGTGTATAAAGTCATTAATGGTTTATTCTAGTGTATCAGACCTGTCTTCAACTGACCCCCCAGTTGTAAATGAACAGGCAAACTGCAGAAGCAAGTACTTGAAAGTAAATCGCTAAAACTACAAAGTTATTTGTTTTAAAATGTAATTCATAGAGTTCCTCCAGATCTTATTCACAGACTTTTCCAATATAAGTATATACTTATCATCACAGTATTGTGTACTAAGTACACATTTGTACTATGCTTCATAGATTGATAATGCAACACTCATATGTATCACACAGAGTGCAACACAGAATACACTCTCTCTAGTTTCATACATCTAAATAATCCCAGAGATACAAATAGTATAATAGCCCCCCCCCAAAAAAATGTAATTAAAAGCTCCTTGAATTTTTGTTATAACTTGGTTTACTTTCATTCTGACAACACAGAGGCAAAGTGATGATTTATTGATTATTGCACTGTATATTTGTTTTGACTAGCATCTCTCTAAAGGCAGGTCAAAGGTCAGTGATGCTTGAAACACAGCACTCCTGCAGCTGGAAGGGATTTATTGACTATATCCTAATTTTAACCATGTTTTAAACATGTTGTATGTCCACACTGGAATAATGACAAAATTAAGTACATTCCAGTGTGTTGTTGATGGGCAGTATTGTTCCAAAACAGGAGTGGAAGAGGTGCTCAGGGATGGACGAAAAGTGAAAAATAGGTGGTGGTGAAATACATTCAGTTTATTGTCAGAAAATAAAACAATATATTTGAAGCATAACAGAAAAAATCCTCTGATGAGATTCTAGTATATTGCACTGCCAGGTTTTGCACTGTGGAAAAATTGGGGCACGGTAAGTGTCATGTCTCAAGGACAAGCACTTTATTTAAAAGTCTTCCCACTAACAACACCCTCCTGATGCCTGATGAATAGCAGCAACACACTGAGGATATACCATGACTAAAATACAAAATTGTAGGTCGTGGAATACTGCATAAATTGTTATAACTGTGGGAAAGACAATCCACTCAGTGAGTTTGCCTTTTAGTACAGATGAGCTTTTTGTAAGTGCATTATCAGATAAGTCTCTTTCTGCAAATTGAGATTAAACATTTTTTTCTTTTTTTTTCTAACCTTTACTGAAAGAGAATGGAAAGGAAGCATTTGGTGAGGGACTGTGAATTGCAATAAAGGCCCCTGACAGTAATAAAACCAGGATGCTGGAGTATTTGTACGTGATGCCTATGTTCATGTCTTAATACCAGGCCGCCCCTACCAGCACAAATTATATTATATCTATATTACAACTCTAGTCTTATTTGGTTTTGTGGTTGCATTTTGCTAGGTGTTTCCTGGACGTTGGGAAGAGAGGAGTCATTATTTGTGTTTCCCCTAGGCCATGGCATAACACATATTATAAACATACTGTATGTGTGAATGTGTCATTAGTCAGATTTCAATCCAAATTTCACAAATTTCAAAAGTACTAATTTCACCTAATTTCCAGAGAATCTGCTAAAAAAAAAGCAAATCAGTGCCTGTTTCCATCCACCACAGCAACATTAATTTGAAGAACGTCACAGTCTCCTCATCGCTGCTACATACAGATCTGATGTTTCTGTCTGGTGCCGTTTTTCATCTCTTCAGTGCAGTTGAAAGCTGAATATATTTAAATCACATGCATCACATGTACCATGGTTAGTTTAATACTATAGGTCTGTTTCCATTTTGCTTTTAAATTTGGTCTAACACCACATCAGGCAAAACACTTTATATTTCGTATTTTATATATTATATTAAATGCTCAGTTTTTTTCCTTTGCTCCAATTCATGTTTTTTATGTTTAAATTGAAAATGATAGGTGCAAACAAACCTATGTATGTAGACACACAATATAGTAAAACCAAAATTGTGTGTGCATCCTCTGTCTGTTTCTAAATCAGTGGTTCATGTACTGATTAAGAGCAAGTACTTATCACAAAAGGATTAAGGATAGTTGTATAGATTTTAGGACTCAGGAGAATTCAGGCAAGCTGACACTAGGATCTAAATACAATTTCCATACAAGTCTAAAGGAAATAAAGGCCCCACAAAGGCCTCAAACAAAGATACCAACAAAAAAAGTCAAAATAGTACTAGCCTGGATATGATTTGAAGTACCTGAATATATAGAACTCTCCTAGCAGGAAGCGAATGCTGACCAGCATAAGTGATGTTCGCAATACATGATGGCACAGTGATTATTACAGGGACATAATTATCCATTGAAGTGACCTTCCTAATCCAGCTTTGAGCAGCGCTGGCACACCCATTATACAGTGACAGCCTTTGTATCCCAGAGATGCCTGTGAGGACCAGCTTGTAAACTGCCGCCTTTAAGGAAAGGTTTGAAATAATGTTATGGTTGATATATTGGTTAAATGCTGCCACCACAGCTGGATCTTCAGTACTGAGCAGTGCAGATAATGGAGCATGCTACTTTAAGCGAGATAATCAACAATAAACAAATTGTTCTTTAATGGACAACAAAGTGAATAATCTTCATAAACAGCAGGGGCAAAATAAGAAACAATAACAACAAACTAAGTGGTGCAATCTATCAAATCACTATGAGCGGTAAATAGTGCCAACATAAGTTCAATGTCCTTTGAAAGTCAAACAATCATAACTCCAAGTCCAAATATTGTGTCTCCACTGTAGAACAAAATATATACAGTACACTGTATATACCAAGAAAGAACAATGATGCATATTTTCCTACATTATTAATAAATTACACACCACAGCTCATTTTTCACAATAATTCAATAATAGATGTTAATGGAAAGCCACTCTCATTATGCAATGAGAAATTATATGATGCCAGAGGGAAGATGAAGACAGGATGCTAGAAAAGCCTCTCCATATTTGTATTCTTCAAACCTGAGCAGGAAGTGATGAGAAAAACATTCTAGCTCACCAAAGACCTTGTCATTTTCAGGTTAACTTATGAATTTTAAATAAGGGCCTTATGTTATTTTTTTCTCCCTGTACAAGTTAATTCTGACACAAATGGGTTAGCATCTGGCTTTGGTACCTTTAGTTTATTAAAAAGCATTAAACCTGCCACTTCCAACTGTGAGATCTTAAAGCTTTTGATCAGAAGCCTGTCTAACTGCTCAACCCTTTTCCTGAATGGCTGACAGCAACATCTGTGCAGCTAAACACCTGCATGCACTTCATGCTCACATAAGAGATACTGTAGGTGATGTTGGTTTCCATTCTTCACAGATTTTTACTAGCAACAAAAAAGATCCAATACATGGTAGACTGGCACAAACCTCTCCTGCTAACTTCAAATTGTATGTTTTGTGTTCATGGGTAACTTGCTAATGTTACTGGGAAGCAAACAAAGCTTTACTGAGAGGAAAAACTGCTGTGCTGCTTTGCTAATTTTGGGGCTAACATTAAGGTGTTTATTGTAGCAAATGCCATAGGCTGGCTGCTTGGTTAACTATAATGTCTTTTTATTACCTCATGTAATGTAAGTAATTACTTTGTTTTGAACATTTAGTCATGAAATTTGATTTTCAGTGATTGTATCAATTTCACCATATTCCAACATTTCACCAATTACTTTGGTGAGTATAGTGCTATCATATGTGATAGAAATAATGGCCAGAGCTACCAAAATAACATGCAAACTGTCATATGTGTTAAATTTTCCTTCAAATGTCAAGTTTTTTTTTAAGTTGAATTGTTGAGGCCTAACAGTTACCTAACTTCACTCTTCATATTACATGTAAAGGCAATACAAACAATAGAAGGACAAGATAAAATTCCCTCAGGCTTGGTACTCACTAGACTCCTGCAGGAGCAGCTGCCTCCACTGCTCTGCTCTCCTTCCCGGTCCCCTCTGAATGATTTAAAATGCCCATGGATAGAAAAAGATCTTCAGGAAGGGAAGGGAAATACAGCCTCTCCTTGGGGCAGAACTTATATAATATATATGGCAGAGGAAATTATTCTGTTAAAGTGCAGATTGACAGAATAATCTCAAGGTGGTGAACTATATCAGCAATTCACCTATTATTATGTCTTATGGGACCAGATGTTTCCTTTATTTATTCCCAATAAAATCTGTTTTGGAGGAGTATGTTGAAAAGGGAATGATACATTTTGTTTTCCACATTCTCTCTGGTGCTTTATACACCTTTTCCACATAGGTCTAGAAGCATTCACATTCAATGTGCATTTAGGCTGTTGATTCATGTCAGCAATTGAGCATAACAAGCTGTCGCATGATGAAGCTCTCAGGAGCATCTTGGTTAAATTAAATATTGATAATTTCAGGAGGGAGTTGGCACTAAAGTGCTCTTCAAATCCTTGTGCTTTTTTTTTTTTTTTTTTCTCTCTGTGATTCC